TTTTACTGTACATACCTGAATTTATCCTTCTTTCAGCACAGTGTAGATAGCTTCACATGTCTCAGGAATTATTTTGCCTAGAGCTTGAGGTGATATTATTGTAGAATACGTCATGAATTCATAAGAATGACCCGTTGCTAAGAACCTTAGAGTGGCTGTAAGTCTCTCATGTGGTGAGATAGAAGTTCTCATCACTGTATTTTTCTTTTGGATTAGGGGTGTTACTAGTAAGAGCAATTTTTTGTAAGTTTCTTCAGTCATCCGCAAATAGTTGCGATAATCCGAAGGATCTGAACATAGTTCTTTCAATAATTTTGTATGAGGTTACTCATTACTCTTTTTAAGCCAATTTTCACACCACGTCCGGCGTTTTTTTCTTTTCTTGTTGTTTAAAACTACTAACAAACCCACTAAAGCAATCACGTCATCTTGTCGGCTCGCCATTTCTCGATTGTCTACCATTCACTGATCCGGTTTACCGTAGCGTGTGTGAGCTCCTGCCTGTACAGGTATACCGGAGAGGTGCACCTGTGCAGGTATACCTCTCCGGTATACCGTAACGTGTATGGCCGGCCTAAGTGGCAATTATCAAAACGACGTACTTGGGCGACGATTTGGATGGCTATTCAGAATTGCCATTGATTTAAATGAGGAACGTGAATTTGAGTTCGACCCGGATGAGTATGGCCAGTTTGATGACCCAAACGATCCGAATGCCGACTTTGAGGTGATGAACGAGTATTTCCGGATCTTTCGGGAATCACCCAGCCTCGACATTATGGAACTATATTTGGACGAACAATATCAATTCGCCCTTCCCCAGAATTCTTCGGAACCTGACATCTTCATTATCGATGATAGAGATAATGATTAGGATGGTTATTTTAGGATAGTGCATATATTTCGTTTGTGCACAGGAATACTGCGTGGTTATGAGTAGTGTTCAAATTTACCCAATATTTTTTGAAAACCGATTGACCATGACTATCACTTAGTTCGTTAGCGGTCAGTAACACGGCTCATATTGTGTTTGTGTCATTTCGATAATAGACATGGTATAATGGAGGTCGACATGTTCATACCAACCTCCATTATTATTTCGATTGGAATAAAACCGGAAACAACACAAAGATAACATGTGAGTGCTATCGCCAATCATTCGGATCCGTACGTGTGGATCAGTTAAAAAGTATAGATCCAAACTCCAGCAACTGGGTCAGTAAAAGTATCAATTGTGGTATGTATGCTATAATTGAGCCAGTTTCACACATCGTGTTCATAAATTGCTACTAACCTTTTCTCAAATAATTCCTTAATTATAGCCAATATTTCATCATTGTGTCCGGTATTTCCAGCCATTCGTTAACTCCCAAGTAATCATAGGCGATCAACCAATTTTTCGAGTGTATTTCAATAAACATAAAAAAAGATAAAGTGGTTATTAGATTAGTGGTTATTTTGATCATGCTGGCACCTTCTCTAATAGGGTTTTGCAGTGAGTTTCCATTGCATGAGAGTGGTGGTATTATTCCTCAATGTTTCTTCCAATTATTCGATAGTAGACCCTGTTTCCTCTCATTGTATATTATTATGAGTGGTTATATCGAGAAAGGAGATATTTCCCAGGGGTACGTCCATAAATATCAATCTATATAGTTTTGGAGTGCCTTGATTAGTGGTAATCGTTTCACAATTTTTCTTTCTCATCGATAAACTCTAATGAATCACAACCATTGGTGAATTTTCAGTTTCAGTGTTCATGTGTACTTCAAAGACTGTATTGTATGAGGGATTTTCTGATAGTTACTTTTATGTTTTTGCACATACAAAAGGGAATTAGGTAATTCTAAATCAGAAGTTGTCGATGGAGAGACTTGAAAATCCTTCGAAAAAGATCCTTCAAATTTTGGTGTCAACTCTCCTGCCATTATAGTTTTTGCGGTGAATGGTATACCACTTTCTGTTCTCTGTATAACCGGATTTATTTGAGATGCTTCTCCAGTATCGGCAAATATTGCTTTCAAATGTGTTTTTATTGGTGTTTTATTTGATGGCTCTTTTATTTCAGCTTTATTATTGGCGAAAGTATGAATTCCCATCCCTTTGATTGGAGCTAATACTTCACGTAAATACTCATATTTAGGTTGCTACAGAGACTTTGAATGAAGATAAATATTTGCGAATCATAATCCTAGAGAATGGTTCAGCAGAGAAATCATAACATTTGTCATGCCACAGTTAGAAGGTTCAATAATCAGATCGCGAATGGATAGTGGAAATAAAGATCCATGACAGTTGGAGACTATATAAGCAGGGTCCAATAGCGATTCCTTCTTTCAAATGGGGGTATGAGCTACTAAATTGCATTCAAATAAAACTGGTGGAGAAATGATCCATTTCCTCATTGATTATTTACCATGAGCTATCAATATTGCGGACCAAAAGACGCTATAATTGGGGAGAAAGTAGCTGCGTGGCTGATTACGAATTTAATGTAGGAAAAACGCCGATTTGTTATGGGTTGTGATTCAACATTTGAGCATCACGCATACAGAAGTCATCCTAATAAAAAAAAGCTACAGAAATATAGAAATATTATAAGGTGAAAGCCTATTGTTATGGAATTGTGAATTCATTGTCCTAAATTCTAGAAGAGCAGCTGAAATTGCACTAAGAGCCGCACGCAAATATACGAAGGCTGCAGGTGGTTAATTAGCGCTAGATAGTTTAGCCGGTGCTACAGCTGGCATACCGTTAAGAATCAGGGCTGTATCTGAAACCTCAAAATTCAATAAACCCAGATTTGCTACCTCATAGATCACTCTATAGCATCAACCTCAATTATCACGCTGGTCTAGAAAAACATTGAGTTGCATACTGAAAAAACTGCACTTCAGGAAATATTTTGCTAGTTTTGGTGATTTACACCCTTCCAAAGAATTGATTAACTATATAGGTTTAGGTATATAGAGACTGGCTTGAACGTTTGAAGTTCCATTTGCTTTAGATTTGTTTACTGCCAGTCTTCAAGCATAGCCCATTGACTAATAAGAAAGATTAACTATTTTCATACGGGTTCAAATCCTATCACCATTACCACATATAACTATGGGACACTATGGGAACAATTCGACACAGTATAGTGTGGTCATTTGTGTCGAAAGTTTATCCAGAACAAGACATGGAAATAATAGCACATAACAAGGAGAATATCAAGAGGATGAGTCATTCATTGATCGCATATTCCAGAGTAGGTACTTGAAGGAAAATGAGTAGAGAACAACTCGCTGATATACCGAACGAGGTGTTAATTTGGTATGCATTACATGAAATTGTATCTTTATGGGATGAGCTACCTACAAAGTGATATTGTTGTCAATAGCATCAGTGCTGCCAAGACCATTACCAGCGACAACAGATGCTGTTGTTATTGTCAAGTGAATGATGTGTAGTCAAGCATTATGAGATGGATCATTCGGTTAGACCACTCAAAAAACGACGATTACTCCACAATTCCTGCTGTCAATAACGAAAAGACGTAACATGGAATTGACCGATACTTGATGAAAATCTATAACTGATGTATTCATAAAACACTTTATTGTGACATTTTCACCGAACGATTGAACAAAAACGCAACACCTGTTTCGCCAAACAATGTCTGTACGAGACACGCCCGCGAAACCATTGTCTGGGAAAATCTCACCAATGAAGTGTTTTTTGAATTCGTAAGAAAAGACGTGATTCAGTGGAAATTCATCGGTCATTTCACGTATGATTTCGTTGTCAGGACACTAGCGAGTTGAATGCCAACTTCTACCCACCCATTGAGTTGGATATTGGTACTAATTATAGTCTGGACTACACGGTTTCTATTCCTACGACTATTCTAAAATAGCTAACTCATCCCGATCATCATAAAAATTCCACCTGGGGCATTTGAAACTAATGAAATTGATAAGGCGTTTCATAAATTCATCAATCAGTGAAAATTCATCAGTCATATCACGTACGTTTTCATTGTTGGGACACTCTAGCGAGTTGAGCGCCAACTTCTACCCACCCATTGAATTGGATAGTGGCACTAATTATGGTCTGGGTTTACACGGTTTCTATTCCTACAACTCCATATTCAATGTGTGTGGAAAATAATGTTATCGCCTATTCTTAAGAAGCTAACTCACCTCCTATCATTATGAAAATTCCACCTGGAGCAGATGAAATTGATGAAATCAATAAGGTAATCACCTTTGATGAATTTTTAATTCGAAAATCCAAAATACAATTAGGAAATGGAGCTGAGGAGAATATCGATGAAGTATTTCTCCTACATGCAAACAACAACACTCTGGAATGGGAAATGTGGTCGAAATGTCACATTCATCTCAAACATGAAAACAGTATTGCTGAAATTTCAGGGTTCGAAGCCGATGTGTTCAGCATCGAGTCAACATTGCCCCTAAATATCGATAATGTGAGAATTATTCGTGTGGTTTTTAATGTCACAGCTGAAGCAAATTCAAATGGTGATGAAATCCATAGCATCTTTGAATTTGATATTGATGTAGAGCCCGGTTACAGACTCACCAAGGAACCACAAAATATTAATCATATGCCAATTCAAGCTGGTGGTCATTAGTACTTCGACAATACCCTCTACGCATATTCATTTCTTATATAACGTGTTAGGAATCACATGTTTGAAGGTAAAGCCTCGTTAATCCTTAGCTCGCACAAGTTTCGAATTATGAGGGCTGTCGTTTGTAGGGCTGCGACAGCTGGTTAACAGAAAAACAGATTTTTCTTTAACAGACAGATATGTTGATTCACAACATTAACGACCGTCATTAGTGTATCATAAAAAATGTGTAAGGTAAGCATCGATAAGTTTGGATACAGATGTGAGGCATATTCAAATACTGTATTGCTAGGACAACCCGGAGTTGGTTTCGAATTGACTTCCGGTGGAAACTTCTATATGGAAAACAAATGTTTTACGTTCAATCTAACACATTGAATTTGATCAATGATCGGGTTTCAGCATCAGGATAATCTTGTGAACTCTGACCCATATTAGTAATCGTCAATTTGGCTTTGGATGAATTCACTACGCGAATGATGCCTTCTGTGAACTGCTCTATGACACTTCTGGAGGCCATTCTTATGATATTTCTATGTTCTCCATCAATAACCGGACCTGCTATAGGTCTCTGCTCTGAAGCTTCACTTTGCTGAATTATAGTAAAATAAAATTTTTCGAACCGCACCTTCAAAGTCATATTACATGTACATAGCTCAAGGTGATCAACACTCCCCAAGGTCAAACGGGCATTGATGAACTATCAATGAAAGAAAGTTTTTTGAGAAAACTTCCTGGTTCAGTTCTGAATTCAGTGATAGTCAATCAACCACTCTTTCTGAACTGTGACGTTTTATCTTGAATACCCTTCGAATTATCGACCTATATCTCCCATTCCATAATTATTGAGAAGTTCATTTGAATTCGTTTAACAGAATAACAGTAATAATAAGCTGCAAAAAATATGGATTTCAAGCAGAAAAACTCATGATGCCATCTTTTCTATTTTAATATGAAGTTTATAATTACAATAATAGAAGGGATGTGACTGCAGCAGTTTTTTGCTATCATCTTTGAAGCTTTCGATTGCGTAAATCATGAAGTTTTGTTTGGAAAACTGCATCATTAGGTCCTGCGTCTCCTTTACATTAACGACTCAACGGTCATTGACATAGAGAGAGTTAATTGACCTTGATTGCAAATGACACCATTATGGCATAAAAACAATACTAGAGAACTTCACAATGCCATGTGATCAGATATCAAGAAAATCAACAATTGGTGTTATGCAAATCTCCCAGCATTTAATATTTCAAAAACTTTCGTACTATATTCCAATCATACTGTGGATGATTATAGTGTATCCGAATTGTTTGAGATAAAACTGTATATTTTTTTTATGCGCTGGGCCGTGACCTGAGATAGCAGTTCAGTTGTTAATATAACAGTTGGCGACGAAGATAATGGTTAATGTAAAGTGAATTCATCATTGAAGAATTGATATCATTTAGTTCAGGTACCAATAAACAAAATGGCAACCCAGTTTGGAATTCAGTCTGAGTTCAATCCAGATTTCCACGATTTTGATATATCTATTAGGAAGTTGAAGTCTTTTTTCGTGGCAAATGCAATCGATAATGAAGAGAGAAAACGTGCAATATTATTGAATAGATTATCCGAAAATGCATTCGTGCCATTAGAAAACCTCGCCTTACCTGCAAAACCGGAAAATATTTCGTTTGATGACATAGTGAAATTATTCGAAATATATTATAAACTCACTCGTTCGGTATTTGCAGAACGTTTTGCATTTAATGCAACCAAAAAGTGGTAGTCCGAAACTATCCAAGAGCATGCGGTTCGCCTTCGCGGTCTAGCAACGCATTGTTGATTCGGAACATCATTAGATTATGCACTACGTGACAAATTCATCTGTGGATTCGGAAAAAGTAGAATTTTGGATATGTTCTTCATCAAAGATGAACATCTGCCTTTTCAAGAAGCAATACTAGCGGCTACTGCAACAGATGTTGCAAATCACAGTTATCGATTACCAGCCACAGTACAAGTGAAACTTGATTACCAGGAAGTGGAAGATCAGAGGACAGGATACAGACGGAGGGCAGCGCTTCAAACACCAACACCTCAGCGGGGTCCTCCTGGCGTCAAACAGGTATGTCTTCATGTAAAGTGTGCGGAGGTGGGCCCCACGACACGCAGCGATGTTTTTACCGCGAATACACCTGCACTTTTTGCGGCGCAAAGGGACATCTTCGTAGAATATGTGAAAAGGTAAATGAAAACCTGTCTTTTAATTTTATTGGAACGGTCAATCAGCCCGTCTGTTCCACAGCTGATCCGAATAATGTATCGGAAAACCAAGACTGTTTACAAAATGAAAGGGCATTATTTTGTTTAAGATCGTCACAAGAAAGTCTCATATTGCTAAATGTAAAGTTAAACAATTTAGCTTTCAAAGCAGAGTTGGATTCAGGGGCTTCTGAATCAGTTAGTTCTGAAATTCTGTGGAAAAAATATTTTCAAAGTTTAAAACCTATCGAAACTCAAATGAAATTTTTGACCTATGTCGGAGATGAAATAGTACTACTGGGTAAAATAGTTATACATGTAACATTTAATAATGTGAAAAAGTTAAAATTTTTCGTAATAAGTCGGGGAGCAAATCTACTTTTAAGAAGGGACTTCATAAAAAAATCAATTTGGGATTTCGTCCACTAAAATACATAAAACTATCAATCGATCAGATAATTGATAATTTAATAAATGAATATCCAAAAGTATTAAAAAAAATTATTTGGGTACTTTCAATGGGGGAAAATGTCTATTAGATCAAAACATGGGACAACTATAAGTTTTTCAAACACAGACCCATAGTTTATGCATTGAAACAGAAAGTAGATATGGAGATTGACAATCTTCTTAAGTTGGAAATATTAGAACCAGTTCAATACTCAGGTTGGGGCACACCAATTGTATATTGATAATTCCTTAATCAGGTAATGTGTCTGAAGTGAAATCATTTATAGGTTTCATGCAATATTATCAAAAATTCATCCCTAATATACCAGATGTGCTACACCCTCTCTATCAAATTTTAAAAGAGGGGTCTCCGATTGTATGGTCCACAAGTATTGATTGTATTCTCCACAAGTATTAACTCATTATAATCCTAACGTTGAGTTGATACTGACGGTCGATGCCTCCTCTTATGGGGTAGGGTCAAATTTTTCTCGCAAGTATCCAAATGGTTTAGAGAGACCAATCGCGTTTGCTTCTCGAACTCTCTCAAATACCGAAAAAATTATTCACAAATAACAAAGTAAGCACTGAGTATAGTTAGTGGGGTGCAAAAATTTAGCTCATATTTATGGGGTAGACATTTCGTGCTTAGGTGCCATCATAAACCACTCATTTCAATTTTTGGTAAAAAAAGGGTATTCCTACTGTGACCGCTAATAGACTACAAAGATACGCTCTGTTTCTTATTTCATTTGATTTTGACATCCAGTATGCCAGCAGTAATAAAAACTGCGGATTTTTTGTCACGACTCCCAATTGAAAACATGACAAATGATTCTTCTATCGAGTAAGATAACTATGTGACAATAAATTATATCATTGAGAATAAACAAGTACCAATTGACGTGAATGTGATGAAAAATGAAACAAAATCGGATGAAATTTTGAAAGTTGTAGTAAATTATGTATTGAACGGCTGGCCGGAAAAAGTAGATATTCAGTATAAACCATTTCTCAGAAGAAAAGATGAATTATCAGTGGAAAATAATATTTTGATTTGGGGATACCGGGTAATAATACCGAGCTCACTGCGAACGAAAATTATATCTGAGCTACATAAAAATCATTTGGGGATGGTTAAAACGAAGACACTAGCTAGATCTTATGTGTGGTGGCCCTCCTTGAATGAAGACATTGAGGAAACCTGTCGATCGTGTAAGGCTTGCTTCAGTGTTCGCCAAGTCCCTCCTAAAAGTGAATTGCAACCTTGGCCAATTCCTGACAGAGTATGTCAACGTCTACATTTAGATTTTTCAGGTCCAATTAATGGAAACATGTTTTTGGTAGTTCTAGATGCTTGGTCAAAGTGGGTGGAAGTTTTTATTCTAAATTCTATAACATCGCACTGTACTATAATGAATCTGCGGAGTCTTTCTGCACAATTTAGTTCACCCAACTAAATCGTTTCAGATAATGCGAAGACATTCATGTCTACAGAATTTCAAGAATTTTTAAGAAATAATGGAATTATTCATGTGACGTCACCACCGTATCATTCAGCATCAAACGGGGCGGCAGAAAAAAGTGTTAAAACTATAAAACATTTTATTATGAATGAGTTGGAAAGCTCATATGATTTTATGGGTCACTTGTTTAAGGAGAAGACCTTGACTGAACAATCTTTAAATTTATCGAATACAGAACACGGCAGTACTGGGGAGTCACTAGCCCGTATGATGTTGGGTAGACTTAAGGATCTACTAGATTAGACTGACTCCAACTCAATTATATCAGAGTGCGTGGAAATAAATCGATTGGTGAAGTGAGAGAAACATTGAAAATGGCGCAAAGTAAACAAAAAAGGTATTACAAAGGAAAAAAACGAATTTATATGCGAGATGGGGAATATGTGTTAGTACGAGATTATAGAAAATCTAAACCTACTTGGGTTACGGGTATTTATTTGAGATAAAAACTGTATATTTTTTGTATGCGCTGGGCCGTGACCTTAGGAGATAGCAGTTCAGGTGAATTTGAGAAATTAAATGGAATGTATGAAAACCGTGTCTCATTGTTGAAAATAGTGAAGTACATTACAATGATCTTCCCTCCAAATGTGAGAGTGATTGGGAATACATTGTGCAACACATTTATTGTTATATTGTTATATATAGTAGTATATCATTATTATTTCTGCTTTGATAATTATTCATTTCAAATAATGGTGGAAGAGCGGGTTTGATGTCGTCGAGTAGAACTACATTTTTATCAAGACTCNACATAAGTGGGACCACCAATAGGCTGAAACAGCTGTCTACCGGTGGCTGATATTCAAAATTGGATTTATTTAGCGAAGTTTCTTGGCAGAACCTCATGCGTAGGAAGATTATTGATATTGAAACAAACCTTGTCTATCTACCTTCATGATGCTTTGGCTGGACGAAGCTTGGGACGCACTGACTTCCAGGTTGGAGGATTGTTGTCTCATGCGACGCCTCAACTTGGGCATGTCAAAGGGCATATCTCGGAGATCCACCGACGCGGCGCTACTAGAAGTACATCCTATCTCTGGGAGTCCTCTTCGGCGTCTCAATTTTGGCATGTCAAACGGTAAATCGAAAAAGGTTTGCTGATTCTGTGGTGCTGATAATGCGGCTATGGTGGATCCGAATCTCGATTTGATCCCTTCGCGCGACTGAATTGAAATTCCGCTGTCGGATCCTTGAATTTCCGGATTGGTATGAAAACCTAAATTCAATAAGTTTTTGTTCTGAAGAGGGCGACGTTTAGTTTTTTGATATTCCGTGTTCGGTGCCACTTCTTCGGGAGAACACTTCTGGGAGTTATTGTTCTTATTGTTGTCGGACGTCTCCGATATTGGTTCCTGGGACGATTTGTCGGATATTGGACTGAGGATGTGGATCTTGTTGCCGTGTGGGGCTGAAAAACCACCAGAACTTTGAGAGACGGTATACTTTTTTGCGTTATCTGAGAATATTTCATTCCCATTCAGATAGTTCGTTTCCCTATTCTGTCGGGATTCCCGTTTGTAGGAAAGAAGGATGAGGAAAATTTATGTCACAAACTACTCTCACCTACTATCAAATCCAAAAGTACCGATTCCCTTGACTACAAGATCGGTATACATCGAAACCGCGAAAAGCAGTTACAGAACCTGGCTCTCTTAACATGAGACAAATTGTCGTCCTGGGCATACCGACAAATCAGGGTCAGGTGTTCGAATATAATTCAGAGCTACTTTCCGAAATTATGTAGGCAAGCGATAAAAATTCAAGTTCAATCCGAAGTGAGTGGAAATCAACGTTACTAAAGTAATAAACACTCAGAAATAAACGGATCGAGTCCATCAACTAACCCGTAGAAACGAAGCTACGCCCACTACCGATGAAATAATTCCGGAGAATATAACCTCAAAAAATGTTATATTCCTTGCGAGGACAACTAGAGATATGCTCTGTTACCTAATGTTTTTTTAATGTTTTGCCGAAAGTTTGGAAAATCGAGAGTTTGCAAAACAATCTATATATCTCTTCTGCTTCTGTTTTGCTGAGAATTCATGATTTTCAAAAGATTACTCAGTGAGACAATTTTAGGAGGAAATTACTCAAACATGCAGACTGCATTGACTAGTACTATTGACAAGAAGAGAGAGGTTTTCAAACTTGATGAAATGAAATATAAACTCAAAAATGTACTCACCACCAGATTCCGAACTATGCGAACTCAGCGTGGGTGACTGTCTACTCTCCGAACTAGAAGTACTCCTATTACCCTCGCTAGTACTACTCTTAATGCTCTCCATACTTCCACCACTACTGCTAGTTGTCATACTCTCATTACTCGAATACTTATGCCTCATTCTTCTACCTTTATATTCTAATAAACTATTCTTTGACCTCTTATTTACCAATAACAGATCCTTTCTTGGCCTACCCTTCATTTCGTAGAGTCTCTCTTTGTCAGAGATCATCAAATGGCCGGGTCGTCCTTTGAACTCTGATATTGATTGATTTGACTTTTCACTGAACTCTATTTCGAAAGCGCTTCCTTGTATTTGTAGAATGTCGCTACTTGTTGTTGGCGATCTGCCCCTCAGAGTTCTGACGGGGAGGTGCAGCTCTTTCAAACGGGACTTGGGGTGAGTCGGTAGATTAGGCGCACTTCGTATGCTATTCATCATGAGTTCTTTGCCGTGGAACTTCGTCGGTAAGGGGGCCGTAGACGGGGGTGAGGGGGTGTATCCGCGAAAAGAAAAGCTGCTCGTGGTCGCACAAGTCTTCATTTTTTCCATTAGATGCATATTCTGGAACAAAAACTATCGATCACCAACTCAAAATTATAATATCAAAAAGAGTGCTTCAAGTGACGCTTTCAATAATTGGACAGCATTACCAAGCCCAAAGTTTGATAATAATTCTATTCATTCTTTGGTTGTTCCGGACTCCTATAGAGATGAAATGGAACAAAATTCCTCCGTATCGTCAACAAGACCAATCGCTCTTTGCAAATTATAATGGAAGAAGCTTCAACAGAGAACATGAGTATCAACAGAGAACGTGAAAGACCTGTATTGAGTATCCTTAGTGTCACTCAGGCAGTCAAACAGTAAAAGAAATCGACAACTAGTATGGCTAGTTGTATAAAGTCAATCTGTTACCCTCCGCCAGTTTATTTAATTCTTCACGGCATTCCTAGACCAATCTGGAGTCACTCTTGGGTTCATCAATGAGTTGAGTTTAGCCGGGTTATCTGTAAGAATATTGATTCGCTCATTTCGTTGAGGTCCTGTATCAATGAGCAATCGTGCACGTGAAAGGCGAATGTCTATTGACTGTTCAGGTAGCTCCATAGTCAGTTTTGGCATGAAAATTATATTTCTCAGCTTCCGTTTCATGTTCGATTTTCGATTCACCTATACAACCGATATCGCTGTCAAGCATGCTTTTGGGATGACATTTAATAATAATAATAATACGTTTATTCACCCAAATAATTTATCACAATTATGTCGGATACATTGGATTTAAAATTCGATAAATATGAGGGCAAAAAGGAGAGAAGTTCAACGTAGTTGCTCTTCCACTTCTCCCTGGGAAAAAAACGGTTTTTTTCATAACACAAGACAAAAATACCTAAGCTAATTTTGTGGTAGTAACAAATTCAAATATTTGTATACAAATGAGTAATGAAAGCATATAAGTGTAACACAAAAAAAACTAAAAGAAGAAGAAGAATAGAAATGAAATTATTGAAGAATTCTTATACATATTGCTCTTTGAAATATTTGTAACTAGACAGTACATATGTATATAGAAAATCGTATTATCAGTTTTTCTATTGCAGTTTTGCTTTGAAAAGAGTTCATCTGAAGAGTCTTTGTTTATTCAGTAGTTTGAGTTTGATTTTTTTTTTGATTTTTTGTTTTTTCTTTTTTTTTATTTCAATAGATAAACTATTCCAACATTGTACGGCTACACAAGTAAAAGATTTATGATGAGAAGCGGTCCTGTGAATTGGTAAGACAAAATTTGTGTTATGATGTCTAGTTCTGTGTGCATGACTGTCTAGCTTGAGCTTTTTTGCGAGGTAGATTGGCTTGTTTTCATTTACAATATTTTGAAATAGAGTTATTTTTATAGTTATCTAAGTGTTCCAGTCTCATAAAAGCAATTCTCCGTTTTTGGGAAATGTGTTTGGAGAAAGTTAGGGAGCTATCCAAATAAACGCCAAAATTTTTGACTACGTTCACTGGATTTATTATATCATTCGATAATTTCATTTGCATATTTGTTTGTTCTAAATACGAAAGTGCGCTTGAGGTGCCAATGAACAAAACTTGGGATTTACTTGGATTAATTTTCAAACAGTTGGTCAGAATATCTTTTAATCGCCTCTAGGTCTTCTTTTATGTTATTTTCTGCAGTTCTATAATATTTGGGTGGGAATTGAAAAGCCATCTGAGAATCATTAACGTATTGATGTAACAATCCATGTCAAAAATATAAATTGAGGAAAAAATTGACCCCAAAATAGATCCTTATGGAACTCCTCATTCAATGGTTTTCATAGAGGATCTGACTATACATTCGTTTTTTATTACAGATACACACTGTGATCGAGAATCGAAGTAACTTCTCACTCAGTTGACACTACTAGAGGATATACCTAGATATCGGAGCTTTGATAACAATACGGGGTGACTGATAGTGTCAAAGGCTTTTTAAAAATCCAAAAGTACCAGAGAAGTAACTTTTTGATTTTCAATCGCCATTTTTGCATCATCTACGATATTGATGAGTGCAGTGCTTGTACTATGGTTTTTTTTGAACCCAGATTGTTTCAAGTTGAGTAAAGTATTTGCTTTCAAATAGTTACTGATTTGGGGGTGAACGTGACGTTCGATGATTTTCGAGAGTGCAGGAATGATGCTGATAGGTCTCAGATATTTAAAATCTGGTGGTGCAGCTGTTTTTGCTACTGGTAAAATAATAGATTTTTTCCACAATTCAGGATATTGACAAGAATCAATAGAGCAGTTTATTATAATAGTTATATAGTCGATTATAGTTGTACCTGGTAAACTAGAATTACTAGAGCTATTTATAAAATAACTATTCAAACTGTCGACGTCTAGTAACTGCTCAGGAATGGTATGATGTTTGATTTTGGTGGAGTTCAGATTATTTGCCGCTTGCCAGAATATTTTCTGATTGTGAGGTAAGGAAATATATATATGCCTCTTTCTCTCTTCTGATTTATTGGTAAGTGTAGTTCCTAAGCTGTTCATAATATTCGAGGTTAGTTAGTGTTTTATTTTTAAGATATTTGCGTTTGGCTTTGTCCCGATAATTCATCATGATTTTTATAACATCAGTTATCCATGGCGTATAGGGTTTCTTATGGATAAATAGTTTTTTCAGGAAAGCATACCTATTAGCCAGGCCTAGAACTAGCTTATTGGATAGCTCCAATTTTTCATTGACATTGCGGAGTTAGAGGATGTCATTGCAACTCAAATTCTGACAATTCCTGTTGAAGCCGGCAGTATCAATATTTTTATAATTTCGATATATGATAAAGTTTGTTGGTTTTATTGGTTTAGGACTCTCAAGTGTAGCTAATATCATATAATGATCAGACACGTTTGATAAGTCTACACACCCTTCGAAAGTAATATTAGTATTGTCAAATATAAAAAATAATCATGAAATAATTCAGATTCATTTAAGTAAATACATGAATTGAAAGATATTCCAACCTCACTTCAATGTTTTAACACAAGAACACTCAGTATTGAGAATTCCATCTTTTAATATTTCAAGTTCATAGGCATCGAAATTGATCCGATCACAGGATATAGAATATAAAACAATCTCCAAATACGCAAACTTGGCACAGATTGCATGCTGTGCATTTTACCTCTACAGTGACCGGATCAAAGTCGCAATGTCAGCGTATAATTCTTTATAAATATTGAGGGAGGTCAAGATCAGTTAACAGACAATAGACAGTATTCATTTGAGTATCGATTGATCATCAGCAATGCAGCACATCCCCTTCTCTTCGATCCTGCTGGGTGGCAGTATAATGTAAGTTTTTGATTGTTTTAATGTATTATTTTTATTAACATTTGAGTGTGAGTTTATTTTTTTCTGTTTCTTCACAATAAATATTTAATTAAGTTTCAAATGAGTTCTTTCATTATTTTGGATGAATGAATGAATGGGTGAAACAGCAAATAAAAATCCTCTCGTAAATAGCCAAGCGAGAACTGAGTTGCGACANAAATTTTGCACATTGAAAATAAAGGTTTCAAACTGAATCATTTAGAAGCAATGGAAATTAATAAACTTAAAAATTCAAATATTCTAATGAATGACCAATTAGATTTGAATAGATCACCATTATTGAACTTGTTTTCTTAAAAACCCATAAAGAATTATTATTGATGTAGATGGTAGGCAATTTGCTTTAGGTAAGCATAATCGAGCAGGTATGTGATGTAGAGATTCAGGTAATTTCTTACAGGTAGTCTCGATTGTGGTTACCTGTAGTATATAAATATGAATGTAAGGATGCTTGGATGTATTAATCATTTGAAAAAGCTAATGTTTTAGCGAAACATGTTATGATTATTTTCAATAAAGTTAGTGGAGATCAAATCGTTTAAGTGTAGTTTGTGAAATTACTATGGATCTTCATCAAGTAACGGCCGAATCAATCAGAAAATTACTTCAGTAAATGAAAAATGCCACTATATTCATATATTCATCAAATTATTTGTATGTCATGTCAAGTCGTAACTCTTCTTCTTCTTCTCTATAGACAATTGAGAGAATAGGCATGAAACAGAATGACAGATACATTTCACAGAAACCATAAAAAGTTCTGCGAGTACGAAAAAACTCAAAGCACAACGTAATACGTAATTATAGTCCAGTCCAATTCAGTCCACTACTACGTTGCCAATGTTTCTATCCAGTCGAGTTGTAGTAGCCGAGCAGCCGTCAACCAAAACAGAATCAGAACCAAAACACGGAACGCTGTGCAGACAGATTGGTGGAGTGACACAAAAACAGATAAAGTTCAGTGTCGGACTATGAAAATATTAGTGTGGGAACTCATAGTTGCAGAATCAATTGGACAATATAGTTTTTTCTAACTTTTATAGGACATGTAGTTTGTAATTGATGTTTATAATCATATTTTAAACCCATTGTTTTTTTTTATTATTCAAGATATTTTTATCAAGTTGTGAGTTTTCATTTGAATTTCAACTTGTTATTTTTGTTTTTCGTTACCACACAGAAAGCTGGGGGCCAGCTTCAACGTGGAGGGGAGATGTGTCAAATATAGAAAATAATCATGAAATAATTCAGACTCATTTAAGTAAATACATGAATTGAAAGATATTCCAACCTCACTATAATATTTTAACACAAGAATACTCAGTATTCAGAATTCCATCTTTTAATATTTCAAGTTCATAGGCATCGAAATTGATCCGATCACAGGATATAGTTGTTTTTTCCCAAATAATCTAATATGAGAATGGGCCCCTCCGTAATTTTCTGTTCAACATCTGTTATTGGAAGCCTCAGTCTCGACTTTATAAACTGAATTTCGAAATCATAGGAATATAAAAATATTGCGTAGCGCTGTAACCTATCAGTGGTCATGATTGGTAAACCATTCTTTGGTCCAAAAATCGACACCAGAGGCTAATGATCGCATTTAAGTACAAATTTACGAACCTGTAGGTAAGAATGATATTTCTATACACCAAAAATTATAGATAATGCC